AAGGGTAATAAACTGTTTTCATTCTTCTCATTGCTCATATGTATACACATATGTTGGGAGTTTATGTTTCCCAACATAGACTATATCCATGACCTTTCTATTTAAAATATGGAAATTTCTTTAAATCAGATATAGGATTTTTCCCTGAAAATTTTAAAAAATATTTTTATTGATTTTAGAGAGGAAGGGAGAGGAAGGGATAGAAACATCAATGATGAATCATTGATCACCTGCCTCCTGCATATCCTCTATTGGGGATCCAGTCCACAACCCAGGAATGTGCCTTTGACCGGAATTGAATCTAGGACCCTTCAGTCTGCAGGCTGACGCTTTATCCATTGAGCCAAACCATCTAGGGCATCTAATTTATTTATAGAGATATTTAAAATAAATAAGGATTTCATAAATGAGGGATTGACTTTAGTGCATTTTTTTCCTTTAACACCTACAAGATCACTTAGAGGTACTGACTTATCAATACAACTTTGAGAAAATAGGCAGTATATACTAAACCTAAACAAGAAATATGGCCTGTGTCCCAGCATTGTTCCCACTTTGTACGTATGTAATTAGTTATAAGTTATAAACTGGAAACTTTTAACATGTCTAGCAACAGCGAAGGAATGAATTGAGTACATCACACACAAAATATCAGGATGAACAAACTATAATAGCCCATATAAGTGTATCTCACAAACATGTTGAATAAAAGCCAGACAAAGCTGCCAGGACACACAGTTCAAAAAGGCAAAAGAAGACTACTAGGGTACTGGTACTATTCTGTATCCTAATCTGGGTGATGTTATGGGGATGTTTCAGTGTGAAAATTCAGTGAGGTGGACACTTGTCACTTTTCTTTATATTATATTATACCTGAAGATAAACACCATACATAGATAGCATGGCAGTCGGATCTGTGGAATCAAATTGTGTGTGGTCCTGAAGAACATTTATATTAATGTGATTCATCATTTGAAAAGTAAGCTCACATCATTTTTCTTATTCAATGTAGTGGAGTTTGGGAACCATTTATAGGATCCAGTCCCATTGGGAAAGTATTATTACAATCTCAGAGTATAGATATAAAATTGAAACCGAACACAGGTTCAACTGCCTGCCTCAACAAAAGCCAAACTCTTGAGACAGGTATTTGTGAGAAGAAAAGTGGTTTATTCAAGTGTGGGTGACCTGAGAAGATGGTGGTCTCTGGTCCTGAAAACCATCTCCTAATCTTGGTGAAGCCAGCAATTCTTACAGGGTGGAAGAAAGGGAACGGGTGGACAGACAGAGAAACTGCAGATAGGCAGGCTGCCTTCTTGGTGGTCAGCATTCTGGAACTGGTCAGTATCAGCCAAATTCCTGTAGTTGGGTGAGTTGGCCGTGGGACAGAAACAATTGAGTCCTGCTGGGTACTCATAAGGAAAGTATTAGTATATAATTTTTTATGAGTTTTATTGTTAGTATATTTAATTCTCGTTTTTATTTTATAGTCAGTCGGTATATTGTTTTTGTTACGCCCAGATTTCGTGATCCCAAGGACCACCAGGGAGCCAAATCCGATGCAATAAACAAAAGAGCCTCATCCATGCTAGCTTGGGCTCCCCCACTCACGCCAGCAGCATGGCGGAAGAGAGAGAATTTCTTCCAGTCCAGGGGTTTTACTCCAGTCTTGGCTAACCCTGATTGGTTGGGTGAGGGCTGGGGATAACTCCGCCCTGCAGGGCGGAGTCGGGAGCTCATCCTCACCCCGCCCTGCCCTCTCATTCCCCCCTTGTCTAATGTGCCTAGTCAAATCATTGACTCAGCCTACTTCCTCTCAGCATAAACAACAAATACAGTTACCAAGACCCTTAGTACCACAGTTCCCATCAGTATTGTCCTCACTGAAGTCCAGTTCCTCTCCTGCAGGCATCAGTTCTCCTCCTGGCCTGTAGTTGCCAGGATTCAGGCCATGCAGGAGCTGGGAGTCATGTAGTCAGGTCTAGGTGCCATCTACTTCAACAGCAGTGGGTGTGCTCAGGATAACAGTGCAGCATCCCTTTGAGTCCTTGGGCAGTGAATTTCTTTACCCACATTGAGTTCCGGGGCTACAGGGTCTGCGGTGGGCACTGGCAGTGCATCTGGAACAAGCAAACTGCAGAACCTGTAAGGACTTGAGCAAGGGAATGGTTACCATACATGATCCCCTCCCAAAAAGGGGAAACTTGTCCCATAAGGGGTACACCTGGCCCTCAAGAGGGCAAAGGACAGGGGGTTGGTCCAATTTTCACCGATTCTAGGACACATTTAATTAAATCCCTTTTTCTAGAGTCTCACTTTTCCTAAGGCTAGAGCTATACTCTGAGATACCTTAGCTACGAAGATGGGGCTGTTATCTGATACTGGCAGCCCGAATCTAGGTATAATCTCCTGGAGTAATCTCTTGACTACTATAGAGGCAGTTTCTGTGTTAGTGGAGTATACTTCAACCTAATCTGAAGTGTCTACAAAAACTATACCTTAATGCTGGTGGTTTAATCTTTGAAATCCACCTACCAATGCTCTCCTGGGGAAGTTCCCTGGACCCGAATTCCCAGGGGGACCCCCTTACCTTGTTTAGCATTTACCTGTGCACAGACAATACTTCTAGCAACTCTGCCTCACAGAAGTTCAGAAGTTTTGGTGACACTTAACCTGGCGTCACCAGGCAACTCTGACCTAGAACCTCTGGGACCAACAGTCTTGTCATCTGGAGGGTCCACCAATCATTTGGTCCTTCAGTGGCTTGCTTCTGTTCAGCCGATTCCTTCCGGCTGCAGTTGGTAACCCTCTTTTCTCTGTGGATGGCACAGTGTCTCCATCAAGGGGCCTGGGTTAAGGCCAAAAGTTCTGTAACTGTGCCCAAATGGTGTGGTCGAAGGTGACTACCACTGCCCCTGCATATCAGGTCCCATCCTGAACGTAACTGCTCCCATCCGTGAACAGTACCTTGTGAATGGGTTCCATCATCTGGAAGCAGGCTGGCAGGGTTGATGGCCAGAGTCTTATGAATCCGGACACAGGGCTGGTCCAGGAGAAAAGCTTGTCCCATCCAGGTTAGCTCCTGGTCCAGAGTCCGCTTATCTGCCTCCTTCACCAGCAGTGCTGTGGTGGCCACTGCTTGGAAGCACGCTGGCCACCCTGCTGCCACAGGGTCCAGTCTCTTAGACAGATAGGCAACAGGTCTCTTCCAGGGTGGCCAAAACTATGCGCACTCGTTTTGAACTGGCCTTTTCTCTTTACTGAGCACAGAGATTCGCCCTTGAGCTCTTCTTCCATAGGATGTTGCCACGGACCCGAGGCCTCCACGCCAGCCCAGGCCCCCAGGGCCCAGGCCCCCAGAGCGAGGCTGCTTTGGCTGTCCCAGCCACGCTACTCAGGCGGTCCCCAAGGAGAAAGTGCAGGTCGCCCCAGCGGCTTCCCGGCTCCGCCTCCCCTTCTCCAGGCAGCCAGCAAATTAACCCAGGTGCCTGCTCCCCGAGCCAGGCCACCACTGCCCAGCCGCGCTCCACCGCACAGACTGAGCCCCGCGGGAGCCCCCCCTCCGGCCCAACGCCGCCAGGGGGCCCCGCACCACCATGCCGGCCACACTTCGCCGGCTCCGTCCTTGGGCACCATTTCGCCTGCAGATACCAAACTCAGACCTGGGAAAGGCTCGCTTTCCGCAGGTGAGGCAACAGCTCACGCCGCTCACCTTGTCCTGGAGAGGATTCATTCCTCTCCCCATGAGGGTCCCTCTAGGGCCCTCCAGGGAGGTCAGAACATCTTCTGATCCTCCTGCCCGTGGCCTTCATGGTGCGTCCACCAGGCGTTTTCGGGCACCAATTCCATGAGGGGTTTTACGTCCCTCCAGAGCACGCACACACACTTACCGCGGCCAGTCAGACTCTCCGGATCTGGTTCCTCATGGTCCTAGGGATCCCGGACGAATTCCCCCATATGTTACGCCCAGACTTCGTGATCCCAAGGACCACCAGGGAGCCAATAAACAAAAGAGCCTCATCCATGCTAGCATGGGCACCCCCACTCATGCCGGCAGCATGGCGGAAGAGAGAGAATTTCTTCCAGTCCAGGGGTTTTACTCCGGTAGATGGTGATGTCACTGCCTCGGCTAACCCTGATTGGTTGGGTGAGGGCTAGGGATAACTCCGCCCTGCGGGGTGGAGTCGGGAGCTCATCCTCGCCCCGCCCTGCCCTCTCAGTTTTCATATTTTTATTGTAGAAACCTATATTAGCTCAAGTTAATGTTCTAGTTTTTCCTAAAGTAAATAATATAGTTTTATGTGGGTTAAAAATTTTTTTTTTCTATCACTTAATTCATATTAGTATTCTTTTAAACTATATTCTGACCAAGTTTAGTATTATTAGTCTTGTATAAGTTAAAGTATATTAAAAAATGAGGTATATGATCATGGGTACAAAATGGGGATGGTAATTATTTGCTTACAGGCTTGCTGTCCAACAGACAGAATCACCATACTCACAAAGCTGAAGCTAGAATGAAACGAAACTTCAGCAATGCACCAGATAGCAAAGAACTAAAGAACTTTTGAAAGGACGGTATGCAACAGAACTGTGTATCCATGAGGGCCGATGAGGAAAGCTGTCCTTGCAGGTTAAGATACTTCAATGGTATCTTAAGGAGTTAAGAATGGCTTAGCAAAACTGGCATCAGAAAACTAGGGGCGTAACTCGGAGGCCCGCAGTCACGTGGCAGGCCAGGCAGGTCAGGATGCCGTGGGGAACCCCCGCACCCCAGCCTCCACCCCGGCCTCCGGGGGCGCGGGGACCGAGGGCTCTGGCTGCGGGGCCGCTGCGGGGAGATGCGGCAGCTGACGATGGCCTTTCAGTGTTCGCCAGCCCCTGCAGCGGCGGGCAGCGAGGTGGACGCGCGCTGATGGCGTCAGCTGGTGACGTCACCGCCGGCGCCGCTCAGGCGGTTTCCCTGGCGACCGGTGCGCGCCCGGCGCGGAGCTGAAGAGATGCTGCCGCGGCGGCCGCGAGACCCGCTGCAGTCCCTGCGGCGCCGGGGCCGCGAGCTGAAGCTGCAGGTACAGGTGGCCGCCGGCGTGCGAGGGCGGCGGCGCTCTTGCGGGGCGAGGCCCGGGAGCTGACCCTCGACCTCCCACCCGACCCGGGGACCCAACTCCCCCGTGTTGGTCTTTCACTGCGCGCCCTCAGCCTAACGTTTCAGTCCCCGAACCTAACACCTCCCAGCCCCCTCCGCTCCGCTCTAACCTCTTAACAGGGACCATTGCCGACCCACCGCATCTGTGCCCACACCGTTCTCCCGCGGCAGCCGCCGCTTTCTCTCCCTCCCCCCCTCCCCCCTCCTCCATGGAGGCCGCTGTTGCTTCCCGGGAACTTAGGCCAAATAGGACTAGTCAGTGAGCAAAGACTTAAAGAAGAAATGCAAGTAACTAATAACATACTTGAGGAGAGTTAACTTCAAAGAAGTAGTTGCAAAGGAAAGATATCTCAGACACTTATTTAAGTGTTTTTATTGATTTTAGACAGAAAGGGAAAGGGAGTAAGGGGGGAGAGCGAGAAGGAAAAAGGAAAGAAAAAAACATCATTGATTGGTTGTCTTCTGTATGCACCCTGAACGAGGATCACAACCTAAGCATGTGCCCTGACCAGGAATTGAACCTGCGACCTTTTGGTCCACAGGATGCTCAGATAACATAAACACTGGTCAGGGCTCTTGAACATTATTATTTAAAAAAAAAAAATATATATATATATATAGATTTCAGAGAGGAATGGAGGAGAGAGAAAGACAGAAACATCAATAATGAGGAAGAGTCATTGATCGGCTGCCTCATGCACTAGGGATCAAGCTGGTAATCCTGACCTGGAATTCAAGCATGACCTCCTGGTTCATTACTCCATGCTCAATCACTGAGCAACACCAGCAGGGCCTCTTGAATGTTAAAAATATTTTTTTAAATTGATTTCAGAGAGGAAGAGATAGAAACACAATGATGAGAGAGAATCATTGATCAGCTGTCTCCTGCAGGCCCCCTACTGGGGATGGAACTCACAACCTGGGCAAGTGCCCTTGACAGGAATTGAACCTGGGACCCTTCAGTCCTCAGGCCAATGCTCTGTCCACTGAGCCAAACTGAACACTTTTTAAATCACAGTAGTCAGTACTGGAGATGGTGTGATAAAACACACCTGCTTACACTGCTCCCTGGCACAGGGGGCCGCCTTTCTGGAGATAGTTTGAACAAGATGTAGCAAATATTTATCTCCTGGGGTGGATGATTACATTTCCAGGAATTTAGCACACATAAGAATAAAGAATTGGGACAGATATTAATGAATAAAAGTGTTCATCACATGCCGAGACCGGTTTGGCTCAATGGATAGAGCGTCGGCTTGGGGACTGAAGGGACTGAAGGGACCCGGGTGCGATTCTGGTTAAGGGCATGTACCTTGGTTGCGGGCATATCCCCAGTAGGGGGTGTGCAAGAGGCAGCTGATCGATGACTCTCTCTCATCGATGTTTCTAGCTCTCTCTCTCTCCCTCTCTGTACAAAATCAATAAAATATTAAAAAAAAAAGTGTTCATCACAGTATTACTCATAGAGAAGACAGGCTACAACTTAAATGATCATTAGTGGGAAATTATATATAACTTAGGATAGGCTATAATACTGTAATTAAAATGTGAGATATTTTAATGTAATGTACCACAAACTATTTGTGGTACAATGTCAGTTTACAAATATATGAATTTGAATATACAGTATTTTTTTAATATATAGGGTATCACAAAAAATGTACATGCACACTTTGAATAATTATAAAGGCAAGGTTTATTAAAATATATTTTATTTTTAAAATGGAGCAATCAGCTGTTAAAGTGTATATATACATTTTTTGGGATACCCTGTATATGCAGAAAAAAGATAGAAACATGCTAGGATGGTTATGTAGTATGCTGATTATTATGTTTCTCTCCATACATTTTGATATTTTTATTATTTTGAATATAGATTTATAGTACTTAAAAATAAAATGTGGATTATTTCTTTAAATTTCTATTTAACTTTGTTAATTTTACTTTTTATTTTTCATTTGATATATTGCCAAGTGTTATTTCCATTAAATAAAATTATTTTATTATCTATCGATATAACACATAGATTTAATGAATGTTCATGTTTTATCTACTTTTGGACACTCATTTAAAAGTACCAAGGATTTGATGGATACATATTTCTTTTAAAAAAATATGTTTTTATTCATTTCAGAGAGGAAAGGAGAGGGAAAATAAGAGATAGAAACATCAATGATGAGAGAGTCATTGATAGGATGCCTCCTGTATGCCCCCTACTGGGGCCCCAGCCCACAACCTGGGCATATGCCCTTGACCAGAATCGAACCCAGGACCCTTCAGTCCATAGGCCAATGCTCTATCTACTGAGCCAAACCAGCTAGGGTGGATAACTATTTATTTAGTGATTCTATTGGAATTATAGTGATACAACAAACACAAAATACTCTTTGGTAGAAATAAAAATAAAACTTGATGAGGCATGCACTTAAGCTGAGCTTTGTCTAGATGTTTAATACTAGAGGCCCAGCGCAGGAAATTCCTGCATTGGTTGGGTCCCTTGTGGCTGCTGGCTGCCGGCCAGGGCCTCCCTCCCTTCCCCCGACCAGCTCTACCCCTGGTCAAACTCCTGAATGACATCCCGATCGAGGGGACAATTTGCATACTACACTTTTATTATATAGGATGATTCTGTATCTAATTATAATTTAAAGCGATATTGGGAAAATAACAAAAATCGTTATTAAAACAGAACAAACTATTAACAAGGATTGTCCAACCTGGAAAAGAATTAGCTCAGGAGCTTTTCTAAAAAATATATATTTTATTGGATTTTTTTTACAGAGAGGAAGGGAGAGAGATAGAGAGCTAGAAACATTGATGAGAGAGAAACATCGATCAGCTGCCTCCTGCACACCCCCCCACTGGGGATGTGCCCGCAACCAGAGTACGTGCCCTTGACCGGAATCAAACCCGGGACCCTTCAGTCCGCAGGCTGACACTCTATCCACTGAGCCAAATTGGTTTAGGCTCAGGAGCCTTTGATATCCTGAATGGGAAAGACTCTTGGATAGTGTGAACTCATTCTTCCCTGTCTCTGTAGAGGACACCTAAAGCAAAAAATGGAACAGATTTCCCACTTAGTGTCCGGGGGACAAGAGCCAAGCTCATTCATGTCTCAGACAAGATGCAAAATAGCAAGAGTAGAGAAGAAGCTAATGAACTTCTCTCTTTCTTCTTTTTTAAAATATATTTTATTGATTTTTTACAGCGAGGAAGGGAGAGAGATAGCTAGAAACGTCGATGAGAGAGAAACATCGACCAGCTGTCTCCTGCACACCCCCCACGAGGGATGTGCCCGCAACCAATGTTTATGCCCTTGACCAAAATCGAACCCGGGACCTTTCAGTCCACAGACCGACGCTCTACCACTGAGCCAAACCGGTTTCGGCTGAACTTCTCTCTTTCTTCACCCACTTTGTCTTCGCATCATTTATAGAAAAGAATCCAACAGAAGTATGTGGCTCTTTTGTGGGTACTTTGGCAAAGTTACATGTGCTTAGAAAATACTAAGTCAAGGTGTAAGATATAAGAATGAGGATAAACCAACATGTAAATATCCATATAGTGCGTACTACTCAGCCATAAGAAGGAATAAACTAATGATATATACAACAAACAGCATGTAAAAGGATTACACAAAAGAGCACATATTTCTTGGGCATGTTCTGGGTAAAGGTGCTTTTCTATATGTTGATGGGATTTGGGTTACACAGGTGTATACAAATGTATACTTAAGATTTGTGCATTTCATTGTATGTAAATTTTACACCAATTATTAAACTCTAGTTAGTGATACCATAGTGCATTATTTAAGGGGAAATGTATTGATGATTGCAGATTACTTTGAAATGCATAAATAAGACTGTGAGTAGATGGCTCAAATAAGGGTAAGTATAGTAAAACGTCAGTGGTAGGATCTACTGGTGGGAGTCACGATGTAATGCTTTCCACTTGGTTGTATGTGTTCATCCTAAAATACTGGTGAAAAGATTAAAATTTTATTTCCTAAGGTTATTTAAGAATGTGATATTTTAAAATTTCTGTTTATTATAGGTTGATAGTTTGCTTTCTGAGAGTCAATTGAAAGGAGCTCTAGAAACCAGTAAAAGGCGAGATATTTACCAAAGGTAAAGCATACTCAATTTTATAAGCTTTCCAAGAACTGTACTTGCATTGCAATGAGCTGTGTTTACAGAATTGAGACTGTTTACGGCATTATTTCTTTCTGTTTTTTAAAAAATATATATTTCATTGATTTTTTATAGAAAGGAAGGGAGAGAGAGAGAGAGTTAGAAACATTGATCAGCTGCCTCCTGCACATCCCCAATAGGTACATGGTACATGCCCTTGATCGGAATCGAACCAAGGTATATGCCCTTGATTGGAATCGAACCTGGGACCTTTCAGTCCACAGGCTGATGCTCTATCCTCTGAGCCAAACGGGTTTTGGCTCTTTCTGTTTTTATTAGTACAATTAAAAAACTAATAATGAGAAATATTGAGGTAACAATGAATTTTTTCAAAATGTATTTAAAAAGATTTCTTACAGTTATCTAGGTCTATCAGGTCTAAATATTCAAATAAGATTAAATTGAGAGTTACAAATGTTAAAAGGAGGTAACAATTTATTTTGTACTCTGTATATACTACGCAGTGTGGTCCAAACTCTGAAAACTATTCCCGATTGATTTTTACAAAACAGCAGGAGAAAATGAAGGTTCACAGTGGCCCGCTAACTTCCCTAACATCACTCTGCTCTGAGACATTAGAGTGAAGGGGCATTAGGAATACTTTAAGTTTGCTGAGAAGCGCAGGCTCAGGGAAGCAAGAGGAAGGACATTGCTGACGTGGAGAAGCAGGCTTTGGTCCATTTGAATCCCGTGGAGGAATTACATCACGGCCTCACTTGGATCTAGGTGAAACCGCCCTCACCTGAAGGTGGTGGCTTGCTGCTGTGGGTGAACATGGCTGAGGCAGGATTGTGGGAGGTGCTTGGCCCGTGTAGGCCCAGGTCCTGTGACCTGGTCAGAACTCTCTAGCAGCAATTCCAACTTCCTTAAGGTGGGAGAATGGTTCTCTTGATGGATAAGTGTTCTTGTGACTTTTTTTTTTAATTATTAATACTTTTGTATTGTTTAGGACATCATTAAGATAATCTGTGTGTTGGGGTATTTAAAGAGTTTATAACATCCAGAAGAACATTAGAGATTCATTCTACTAGTTTAAATAATTCATTAGAATCATTTGAAAAACTTACTGAAGTCAGGCATTCAAAGTGCTTAAAAGCAAAATTAGGTTTATATGAATTTAAAAATGTATAAGGGGATTTAATTAACTAACTACATTATAGTAGGATTGATTATTTAAGGAATTTAAGTCGAGTTAAACAATAGTGAAAGAAAAAGTGAAGGTGATTGTACTTGCTTTACTAGGCTTAAAAATAAAATAAGATATATAGGCTGAATTTGAAGTGCCAGGAAAAACTAGGTTTTTAAATTTTATTTTAATTAACTAATTATTTTAATTAATTGATTAATTAAATATATTTTATTGATTTTCTTACTGAGAGGAAGGGAGAGAGATAGAGAGCCAGAAACATCGATGAGAGAGAAACATCGACCAACTGCCTCTTGCACACCCCCTACCGGGGATGTGCCCGCAACCAATGTACATGCCCCTGGCCGGAATCGAACCCGGGACCCTTCAGTCTGCAGACCGACGCTCTACTGCTGAGCCAAACCGGTTTCGGCTTAATTAACTAATTATTTTTAAACCGAAATAACCAGCCAAAACCGGTTTGGCTCAGTGGTAGAGCGTCGGTCTGCGGACTGAAGGGTCCCGGGTTCGATTCCGGTCAAGGGCATGTACATTGGTTGCGGGCACATCCCCAGTAGGGAGCGTGCAGGAGGCAGCTGGTTGATGTTTCTCTCTCATCGACATTTCTGGCTCTCTATCACTCTCCCTTCCTCTCTGTGAAAAATCAATAAAATATATATTTTTAAAAAATAAATAAACCCAAATAACCATAAAATAGTCTTCTCTGTATATAAAAAGACCTCCTCACAGCCATTTTAAAGAATCACATTGAGATTTGCATGTCTGAAAATGTATTTTAGCCTGTATGTTTGATTAATAATTGGCTGGAGGGAGATAAAGTAAAAATAATTTCTACTTAAACCTTTGAAGACACTGTCAGGTTTCTTCGTACCTAGTGATGCTAAGTTTGATGACCACTCCTTCCTTCCTTCCTTCCTTCCTTCCTTCCTTCCTTCCTTCCTTCCTTCCTTCCTTCCTTCCTTCCTTCCTTCCTTCCTTTATTGATTAAGGTATTACATATGTGTCCTTATCCCCTCTCTGTTATCTGTTTCCATTGATTAGGATTTTATGCATGCATATAAGTCCTTTGTTTGATCTCTACCCCTCGCCCCCATTGTCCCTTACCTTCCCTGAGGTTTGACGTTCTGATGGATGTTTCTCTGTCTCTAATTCTGTTTTTGTTCATCAATTTACGTTGTTTCTTATATTCCACAAATGAGTGAGATCATGTGATGTTTATCTTTCTCTGCCTGGCTTATTTCACTTAGCATAATACTCTCCAACTCCATCCATGTTGTTGCAAATGGTAAGAACTTCTTTTTTTTTTTTTTTTTTTTTTTTTTTTTTTTACCACAGCATAGTACTCCATTGTGTAGATGTAAAACAGTTTTTTAATCCACTCATCTGCTGATGGGCACTCAGGCTGTTTCCAAATCTTAGCAATGGAGAATTGTGCTGCTATGAACATAGGGGTGCATATATTCTTTCTGATTGGTGTTTCCAGTTTCTTGGGATGTATTCCTAGAAGTGGGATTAATGAGTCAAATTGGAGGTCCCATTTTTAGTTTTTTGAGGAAACTCCATACTGTTCTCCATAGTGGCTGCACCAGTCTGCATTCCCACTAGCAGTGCACGAGGGTTCCTTTTTCTCTGCATCTTCACCAGCACTTGTCATTTGTTGATTTGTTGATAGCCATTCTCACGGGTGTGAGATGGTACTGCATTGTTGTTTTGATTTGCATCTCTCTGATGATTCTTTGAGCGCATTTTCATATGTCTCTTGGCCTTCCTTCTGTCTTTTTTAGAAAAGTATCTAGTTAGGTCAGTTGCCCATTTTTTGATTGGGTTGTTTATTTTCTTTTTGTTGTAGAAGTTCCCTGTAAATGTTGGAGATTAAATCCTTATTGTTGATCTTATTGGCAAATATGTTCTCCCATGCAATGGGCTTTCTTGTTTTGTTGATAGTTTCCTTTGCTGTACAAAAGCTTTTTATTTTGATATAGTCCCATTTGTTTATTTTCTCTTTAGTTTCCATTGCCCTAGGAGTAGTATCAGTGAAGAAATTGCTTCAGCATATGTCTGAGATTTTGCTGCCTGTGGATGCCTCTAGTATTTTTATGGTTTCCTGTTGTATGTTTAAGTCTTTTATTCATTTTGAGTTTATTTTTGTGTATGGTGTAAGTTGGTGGTCTAGTTTCATTTTTTTTGCATGTATCTGTCCAATTTTCCCAACAACATTTATTGAAGAGACTGTCTTGACTCCATTATATGTTTATTCCTCCTTTGTCAAATATTAATTGAGCATAGTGATTTGGGTCGATTTCTGGGTTCTCTATTCTATTCCGTTGACCTATATGTCTGTTTTTGTGCCAATAACAGGCAGTTTTGAGAACAGTAGCTTTGTCATACAGCTTGATATCTGGTATTGAGATCCCAGCTACTTTGTTCTTCCTTCTCAGGATTGGAAAATTCATTCTAGGTCTTTGAAATATGCCATTGGTATTTTAATGGGAAGTGCATTGAATTTATAGATTGCTTTGGGTAGTATGGACATTTTGATGATGTTGATTCTACCAGTCCATGAACATGGTATTCTCTTCCATTTTTTTTTTATATATCTTCTTCTATCTCTTTTTTTCAGAGTCATGTAGTTTTCCACCTATAGGTCTTTTACCTCCTTAGTTAAGCTTATTCCTAGGTATCTTAATATTTTCGGTGCGATAATGACTACTCCTTTCTAACTGACCTTTTGGCTTCTCTCTTCAGCTTGGGTGTTTTGATATTTTATCAAGATGTCTGTGGTTTTGCTGAAACCAGTTTGGCTCAGTGGATAGAAAGTCAGCCTGTGGACTGAAAGGTCCCGGGTTTGATTCCGGTCAAGGGCTTATACTTTGGTTGCGGGCACATCCCCAGTAGAGTGTGTGCAAGAGGCAGCTGATCGATGACTCTCTCTCATCGATGTTTCTAACTCTCTATCTCTCTCCCTTCCTCTGTGTAAAAATAACATATAAAAAAGACTTCCTTTAAAAAAGAAAATGTCTGTGTTTTTTTATTTATTTTTTATTTTTTTTATCTTGCTCAACATTCATTTTATCTTAATTTTTTAAAAAATTCTCACATGACAATATGTTTTTAAAAAATTGGTTTTAGAGAAATAGAGAAAAATATTAACTGGTTGCAACCAAATGCGCCCTGATTAGGGACTGAACCTGAACCTAGGTATGTGTCCTGACCAGGAATTGAACTGGCAGCCTTTTGGTTCAACCTACTGAGCCACCTGGCCAGGGCGCAGTGCATCTTTTTAGTTGAAACTCATGTCATTCATGAGCTCCAGGGGATTTTCTTTTATTAAAAGGTAAGTTTTTTACTTTTGTGTGTCTTTTTCTTCCTGAAACAGCTTTGAGTCAGGGAGCCCCCTGGACTGTTTTCTTGGTCTTTTATCTCCCATTAATAGTTTTTGTTTCTGTGTCTTTTTGTTTTCACCTGGGAGATTCTCTTGATTTTTCTTTAATTTCCTATGGAATGTTTGATTTTAGCAGACACATTGGCAACTTATAAATGTTTTTCTTACTCTTTTTTCATAACATTATGCTCCTGTTTTCAGATGATCTCATTACTTTCATGATTAGGAGACTTAAAGAAATTTTTTCTTCTGTTCTCTATTGTCTTTATTTAATGTTGGTGAGTCTTAAATTTTATTTTCCGTGTTGCTGTTTTTTTTTTTTTTTTTTTGCATCTTGTGGTCCTTGGGTTATCCATTTTTATTTAATAACTAGAGGCCTTATGCACAAAATTTGTGCAAAAGTAGGCT